ACAAACTCATTTCTCACTGCTGTCCCAACAATGTGACAAACTAATTTCTCACTGCTGTCTGAACTGTGTGTCAAACTCATTTCTCACTGCTGTCTCAATGGTGTGACAAACTCATTTCTCACTGCTGTCTCAACGATGTAACAAACTTATTTCTCACTGCTATCTTATAGCTCTGTGAAAAACTCAGTTCATACTGCTGTCTGAACTGTGTGTCAAACTCATTTCTCACTGCTGTCTCAATGGTGTGTCAAACTCATTTCTCACTGCTGTCTCAATGGTGTAACAAACTTATTTCTCACTGCTATCTTATAGCTCTGTGAAAAACTCAGTTCATACTGCTGTCTGAACTGTGTGTCAAACTCATTTCTCACTGCTGTCTCAATGGTGTGTCAAACTCATTTCTCACTGCTGTCTCAACGGTGTAACAAACTTATTTCTCACTGCTATCTTATAGCTCTGTGAAAAACTCAGTTCATACTGCTGTCTCAACGGTGTGACAAACTCATTTCTCACTGCTATCTTATAGCTCTGTGAAAAACTCAGTTCATACTGCTGTCTGAACTGTGTGTCAAACTCATTTCTCACTGCTGTCTGAACGGTGTGACAAACTCATTTCTCACTGCTGTCTCAACGGTGTGACAGGCTCATTTCTCACTGCTGTCTGAACTGTGTGACAAACTCGTTTCTCACTGCTGTCTGAACTGTGTAACAAACTCATTTCTCACAGCTGTCTATGCAGTGTGACAAACTCAGTTCACACTGCTGTCCGAACTGTGTGTCAAACTTAGTTCACACTGCTGTCTCGGCAGTGTGACAAACTCATTACCAGTACTATTTCATCTATAGGTTATTTTTGGGAAATCTAACTGTTCACCATTTACAACAGAAGCGTATACTGCCTGTACCTACCATAATAAATGTCCAGATTTTTCCGAAGAAATTAAAATAAAGTTGCCGGCAACATTGACTGACCAACACCATGTGCTATTTACGTTCTACCATATCAGTTGTCAACGCAAAGCAGATAATTCCCCTGTAGAGACTCCTATAGGATACACGGTAAAGCTTGTGGGTTTATATGCAGTTCTTCTATCAAACAATTTCCGGTACTGACCCTATAGAGATTCCCATATAATACGTATACTTGTGTACTGTTTCACTGATGGTCAGTCATTCATTTTAAATTTTTGTCTTCATCAACAGTGGATCCCTGCAATGCATGATGGGAGGTTACAGACTGGTGAATTCTGTCTTCCGGTGTCAGTTGAGAAACCACCATCCAACTACTACATGCTGTCACCAGAGGTTAGAAAACTTTATCCAACAGACTCATGTTTTGATTTGATTCGTGCATCTGTTCACTGAAAGAATTCTAGCATGCTGTCAATAGAGGGCGCTCTCACTGTGCATGTTCAGAAGTGGAATTGCAGAACACTGCTTGTTGTAGAGGTGTGCATTTTTGATGAGTAAAACCGAAAATATTGCTTATATATGTATACAAGCTATGGTTGTATCCTGTATTTAAAAAAACTATTTTCACTACTTTGATGTTGAAATGTTCTTACTGACTATTAAAATCAAATTTGTTCATTGTACAAAATTGAAGAATCTCATTTGTGTACCATCTAATGATGTTTTTTTAAAGCCACATACGATCATTTACGATCTTTAACTATTTCAGGTCCAGCTACCTGGTATGAAATGGGTGGACGGTCACAAAGGATTGTTCAATGTTGCTGTACTGTCAGCATCCAGTATTCATACAAAGGTAATACTCTAAATTCACCTCACAGATTTGTTGGTAATTTAAGTGTATTTTCATGTTCATATAATATGTAATAGTTGTTATCCGTGGTAGACCGTGTACCTTTACTGATTAGATCTGGCATTATTGGGCATTGAACATTAAAATATAGTGTTTTATCACTCTGTAATACAATCACATGTGTTCTGACAAACAAGTGTCGCTGTTGCATCAGCTTTCTTGCTCTGGAAGAAACTTTTCAGATCGTGTTGAAATTTTGTTTTGTACCACTATAGGATGAACATGTAGATCGGTTTCTGAGTCTGTGCCATGCTGTTGAGGATGGTCGAATACCGCGTAGCATTGGTGAAGCCAACATGGAATCTGAACTCAAGAAATGTGTTAGCAATTTATCACATGCCTCTTTTGAGCCGTTGGTACGATTCTTGTATGTCTTGTTGGATAAGCTGATACTCATGCTGGTTCAGCCACCCATTATTGCTGGACAAGTTGGTTAGTACAAAATTGTTTTGTTTTTTTTTAAATATGAATCCAATATTGTGCTGCTTATTTTATTAAGAATCTTGGGAGTATTTGATTGTTTTTCTTGTATAGAAATCCCCAATGTCTTTTACGCTAAATTAGAAAATATGCAATTCTTTCTTTCTTTTCATTTTGTAGTAAATTTTTGGCTACTTGAAAATACTTTATTTTCACTTGGAATTAATTTTCACTGAATTTTCATTCAGTTACCCAAAAGCAATTCAATTGATTATCTTAACTATGTTATGCTTATTTTCAGCCAATATGGGACAGTGTACATTTGAAGCTGTTTCAAACATCTTATCACGAGTCCATCTTCAGCTTGGTGCACATTTAGACTGTCATGCTAGAAATGGATTATTAGCTAGCTATGTACACTATGCCTTCAGACCACCACCGCTACAGTATTCACCTACGTCTTTCAGTCCAGGTAATCATAGCTTTTATAATTTGACGAAATTGTTGCTCAATTGCATGTATCTGATAAGGTAGATTAATTGTTGATGATTCCAGCTTGAACTTCTTTAACTGTTAAAAGAATGATATTGGTCACCAATACTATCAGCACTTTGTATATATTCATATTTTGAATGCAAAGAGTTTTTGACTCTCATGTGCGAAGCACAAAATAGGAGTCTTTGCAGTTAGTGTGTCTGTATGTGTGTGTGTGTGTATGTGTGTATGTGTGTATGTATGTGTGTCCGACTGTTCCACTGCTATCTCAAGAACCATACATCGGTTTTTGATGAAACTTGGTGCATAGATGCTCTGGGCCAATGCGCAGATTTGATTAAGTTTTGGTAAAAATCCATGCTCGTTAATTACCTAATTTGCATGATAATTAGCTATTTTGTAGCTGTTCTATGACTGTTCCACTGATATCTAAAGAACCACTCATTGGATTTTGATGAAACTTGGTACATAGATGCTCTGAACTAATGCTAGATTTTGATTAGGTTTTGGTTAAAATCCATGCTTGTTAATTACCTAATTTGCATGATAATTAGCTAATTTTTAGCTGTTCTATGACTGTTCCACTGATATCTAAAGAACCACTCATTGGATTTTGATGAAACTTGGTACATAGATGCTCTGAACTAATGCTAGATTTTGATTAGGTTTTGGTTAAAATCCATGCTCGTTAATTACCTAATTTGCATGATAATTAGCTATTTTTTAGTGGTTCCATGACTGTTCCACTGATATCTAAACAACCACTCATTAGATTTTGATGAAACTTGGTACATAGATTTTCTGACTAATGCTAGTTTTGATTAGTTTTTGGTAATAATCCGTGGATACTAATTACCTAATTTGCATAATGA